AACAATTACTACTTCAATAATTCACTGGTGTATATGTTTGGAGAAGCTGCTTTTAAATGCATGGTATTGCCAACTATCAGATTTTTTTACAGAAGCTCTGAAATACGGGAATGACGCGGGGAATAGTTTTAGTTATAAAAACAACTGTTATCAAAGTTTCTAAGTAGCATAGAAATTTAGAGGGCTCGAAAGCTCACAGTAGCTCCGAAGCACAGCCTGATTTCTTGGCCTTTTGTTTTCACTCAATTAAGCTGAAAATCCTCAGCAGCCAACAAATAGTTGATACCCTCTGAGGCTGCCCCATCAATCCCCTCAACAAAAATTGTGAGATATACAGGAAAGAAACTCCCCCAAGAAAACTGAGGACTAGTTTAAAACAGATGAAGAAAAATAATAGAAGACAATCTCTGAATAAACACCACCTCTAGATAAACAGAAAAGCACAATTTGATCAGCAGGTTCTTCCCTCTACAAGCAGATTGGGAAGTCCTTCCGGTGAGGTTATCATAGTTAAGCAGATACTGCTTTTGATCTTTAAGTCAGGCTCCTGGAGAGTTTTGGCTATGAAAATATGCAAATGTTTCCATGGAATGCATGGTGCATAATCAATCATGCCCAGCAGGCCTTAGAGATCAACAACACTCTCTAATCAGAAGGCTGCCCAGAGCTATGTTCCTGGAGAGGCCAGGCAAGAAAATAATTTCTGCATGAAAATACATCACCATCTGTACTATTTCTTTATAATGATGGTCAGGAAACATGGCTGAAATTCATTTTGCCCCAGCTTTCTGTAGCTATTCTACAAAGACCTAAAGAGACAATGTTGGAGAGAATTCCTAGAGATATTTAATTACTTTATTTCAATTATTTAATATATTTTTCCATTAAATTATAAACTAATTAGTAGATAAAATATAGGTACAGGAATAAAAATTAATTTCACAGTAATAGAACAGCTTTTTTAATATAAAAGCATCAGAAGATAGCAAAATCCAATATATTATTGTCATGGTAAATGTCACTGCTTAACAGCAGTGAAACCTAAGTGCACAGCAGCTAGGGTTTATTGCACAATAACTATTTTAACACTATAAGGAAGTGTTTAAGCAGCTGATGTTTAGCAGTGGCTTGTCCTTTAGCAGCATAAACTATGTAGAAAAAGATAGGCAGTTAGAAAATTTATCTTTTGTTCTTTTCTTCAGAGATAACAGAGTACAAGTGGGCTGGGGAAAAGGAGGATGATGCATCAAGAGGATAATACAAATTTCACAATATTTTGAGGTCATCTAGCAGAAGACTAACAAAAGAAAATATGCTGATTTATTCAAATCAACCTACCTATCAGAGGGGTAGAAGTGATGCATGCCTGGTGCCTTTCAGAACGCCTGAAAGGACCTCCTCGGACACTACTGCATTAAAGTTCTGAAGGGATTCCAGCTACCATTGGTCAAAACACTTCAGTCTAAAAAGGCCTTTAACATCACCATCATTTTCAGACATTTATTCTCACATTTTACTCAAAGAAAAGAAACTTCATCCACTGCTCTCCACCACCCACCCTTCTTCCAAAAGGTAGAAGCCATTCCCTATGTATGTGGCCTGCACTGGGTCTCTCCTCACATCCTCACACCCACTGTATCAGCAGTCCAGGTTCTTTCATGTCTTTATTATTGACATGCTTTGGAACTATCCTTTCGTAAGTATCTGAAGAAAATACAAATGAGCAAGAAGGTCCTGTTAACTTCCGCACCTCTGTCTACTGGGAACATCACCTCTGATTACATTTGACCTCTACAGACATAGATGTCTGAAATACTGGCAAACCTGGGCTTGCTTCTGCCCACCAGACAAGGGGATTAGTCCCACAGTGATACCACTCTCTTTTTACAAAATGGCCTTTCACTACTCAGATCCGTGTATCTGGCTGTGTTTGATTGCTGCTGCTTGAACTGGAGATCAACTGAAAGTGTATTTTCCTCTCTTCTACAGATAACATCTCAATTCTCAGAGATAACTGCAGTTCAAAGCCAGACCACTTTTTCCAATACTGCAGTTCTTTATGCATCAAACTGACAATAAATTCAATATTCAAAGGAAGAAATAAAGAATTCAAATTTCCTCATTATATCAAATAATTCATTTGCTCCAGCTGAACAGTTTCATTTATGCTTATCTGCATTTCATTAGAAGGAACACAATTTAGCTCAGATAATTTTTGTTCAAAATGACCAGCTGAAGAAATCTGAAAAGGGAAAGAATTAATGTTGTTAACTGTCATTTAATTTCTTGCATTCCAAAAATAAAAATCAGTATGAAAAAGTCATGATCTCTTCCTGTCTTAATCCAAAAGACACTTCTAGTACAGGACATAACATAGGGAGAAATGTCTGTAGTATTTTTCACAAGATTAAATAAAAATGTAAACAATGAACTTAAAAATTCTGCATCCAATGAAATATTTATTTTACTATAATTTCCATGCATCTGACTACCAGGCACACAGAACACTAGGACTCAGTTAAGATATTTTAACATTTCTAAAATTTCAGAGTCCATAAGCAATAATGAAAGCCCTGAAGCTGAATGCCTCCAAGAAATATTATTCTGGTGTTTTGCTGAACTGTTAGTTATTTTAGATACAGTGCCTCACAAAGATTTCCATTCTTATTCTATGAGATCCTTAAAACAACTAAGAAGGGATGGCCTTTGTTTCATTTTGTGGAAAAAGTGAAGTAAATTTACCCACCTCTTAATATCTCTTTTGCAAACACTTTTTCAGAGCTCCTTTGGACATACTCATATGCCCCTGGCTAATAACGAATCCAAAGCTTTGATTTCAAAATATTTTAAATATTGTAATGACTCAAAATCACTTAAATATTGTAATGGGTTTAGTTGGATACTGCAAAATGTAATGTTATCTTTCACTTCAGCATCTGAAGTGAAATGGGCTCCACTCAGTTCCACTAAGGTTTCAAAACAAAATAAATAACAAGCTTCACTTTCACTTATTACTATATATACCCTCTTTACAAAATAAAAAAATTGGAGTTTATTTGTAAAGAGGGTATATGTAGCAATAAGAAATTAAGACCATATTAAATCCCTTATTTGTCCCACATAATTGCAAACATTATCTGATTAATTCAAGACAACATTCCACAGCTGGGTATAACAAATCTGCAAAGGCAGGTGAATTTTCTCATCAGAAGAGAGGACAGTCGACCCAACGAGTCCTGCCAGGAGGCAAAGGAATGAGGAATTCACCTCTGAGGAACATGCAGCTCTCTCAGCACAGTCCAAGACAGAAGCTGGAAAGGGGCCTAGAAAGAGGCAAGAAATGCATGGAGTCTTGGAGAACATGACTTAGAGATGAAACTGTGCTGCCTAGGAGGAGAGGCTGGGTTCATTACAACATTCAATTATAACAGCAAATATTTTGTAAGGTCTCCAAGCAAAGGTTTTAGTGTTCTTCCCGTCAGCTGCAGACAAATGGCCTAATAATTCACCTCGGCTTCAAAGTAAAACTTGAATTTGACTGGAAATATGTATCAAGAATGACCAAAATATTTATTACGCTACTGAACATAAATTCCAGGTTTCTTTCCTGATCCATTCTTTAATTCTGCTAATGCCGGAGCTCAACCTGCATGTCTGAAAACACACAACAACATAACACAGTAATTTTTATGCTCCTAATAAAATACATGCAGATGGAAAGAACAACTTTAGATGACACCTTTGTAAATGAACTTATTTCCTATCATCTTAAGTATTCTGTTCTCACAACTAGTGTCATAATTAGCCTTAAGAAGGCAATAAAGATGTTTATTCATCCTCTTTTCCAGCTCATTGGGGAAAAAATATCCATCCCTCCAAGGAAGGAGGATCCTGAAGCTATAGAAAATGGGGGCTTGACTACTTCTTCAAGTAGATTATCTGCATGAAGTCACACAAAAATGCACTTAAACCCTGTACCTTAGCAGCCTGAGTTGTTAAATGGAAGTGCTAACATATGGTTTGAGCAGAAGGTTAGACTAGGTGACTTCCTGAGTTCCCTCCTGACCTATATGTTCTTGTGATCCTATTTGCTTTGAGACACAGAGGATGAATGAGAAGGGCACTCAGACATTACAAGGTTGATTACTAGTGAAAATCTCATATAAGTATCCTAACATTTCAAGGTTATTATATATAGCTTTTTACTACATATATATGGGGGTAAAATCCTGTAAAAATGCTCATGGACTCAGTGCAAATGACATCTATGACAGCCAGAGAAAAACATCAAGTCATCTTGTTCTGGATGATATAGTAGAACCTGCTGGTAATGTTGGTTTTCAGAAAGCCAGCAAACTGAAAAACTAAACATCTGTTTTGACTACAATTTTTTTAAGTAGTATCATAAACTTGAAAGGCCTTTTACTGAATTATGTGCAAGTAAATTTACCAGGCAGATTAAGCAGAAATATTTACAGACAGACTGATGCTAACATGAACAAGAAAAAGAAAAAGCACTTGTCATCTTGCAACACAGAATACCCAATGAGTATAAAGTGTCTACAAGTATGACAGTAAAAAATTTGAAAAATAAATTGCTAGCAGGTAAAATGATTCTGTGACTAATTTAGAAGATTACTTCTCAGGGTGAAGCTGAGTCAACAATCTCTTCCTCTTAAGACACATCCTCTTCTCCAAGTACCTCAGCTGCAGCACATTTTAAAAGCAAAAACAATGCAAAAGCAATAGCAAGCCCTACTGTGCAGATGCTCTCATTTTCTGCTACTACTGTTTTAATTTCCTAGCAGATCCCTGAAATAGGAAGGTTGTGATTGACTTCGGACTGCCTGGGCACAAACTCTAGTCTTAGCAGTTCATAGTGCTGTTTACCAAACTTGCATCTAATGTCCATTTAAAATCTAATGTCCCATTAAAAAAAGTGGCAGGGAAGAAAAAGAAATAAAGCTTAAAACAAAACACAACCAAAAAATCAAACTCACCTTGCTGGAGGCACATCAATATTTGAAGAAACAACCTTGCGCTTCTGTTCCAGAAGACAAACAGAACGAGTGTTTTCTTTTTCATACTCATGAGCTCTGTTAAGTTTTTTGGTCTCTGCTGTTTTTAAATCTTCCTCCTTTGTGGTGAACAGGAGAAATTGTTGGTCTGGCAGTTTTCGACTGATGTCACTTTTTACATCCTCCTGTTGAAATGCATGGAAGGTCATTTCACGCTTGATGTTAGCTGCCTGAAAAATTGAAAGCAATTATTAAATTTTCCTTTAATTCACCTAAAATGGGAAACAACCCACTACACACAGGCATTTGCTTCTAATTAATTATTTGAATTAGTGAATACCATTTCTTTGTCCTTCATAAATTCTGAAACTGCCATTAATTTCTCGAAGATGTTGAAGACCAGCCAGGAAAATAAGCAATTTTTGTCCATTTGATAAAGCTATCAACCTCTTTATGTTAATTCAAAAAGGTATTTGAATTAGAATGTCATAAACCAGATTATAAACAACATATCTTTAATGCACACACATCTGTGTCGCACAGCTATGCAAAAGAAATCCTAGCTGCCTTCCTCCTAAATTTTCAGGGAAAAAATTCAGAATTTTTCCAAATTAAACATAACCAAAAAACTAAAGCACTTCCTTACAGCCACATGCTGGATTCTTTAAAAGCTGTATTTGTAAATGACGTTTTTTTCAGGAGTATAAAAATAATTTGCTATGATCCAACTCATCTGCCAGAAGGCAAAGGGGAGCAAGTGATGGCAGCAGGATCTCTGCGAGGAGACCATCCAGCAGTAGTGAGCAGGGACACACACCCAGGAGCAACTCCAGGTTGTCTCTGCCAGCACTTCCCATATCTTCTGGTCTGCCTCTTCTCACAAGCAAAGACTTCCCAAGCAAACAGGTGTCTTAACAAAGACACTGCCACTCTGGAATACAATGTGCTGATGTTTTTTAAACAAACTATTGCAAGGTTGGAGGGAAGACCCCAAACACTCATCAGAACCAAGCCACTCCACCTTCCCAGCAAGCAAAACAAAGCACAGGACCTAGATTTTCTTGTGAAATCCATTCTCTGGGCAGCTACACTTCCCTGGGCAGCTACAGTTTCACAGGGGCAGACCTACTTGTGAGGTGACCCATCCAACAACCCAAACCGCCAAGTAAAATAACAGCCCAACAAAGTGGCAGCTTCTCCTGCCTTGAGCACAGGTACTTCCACATCACATGCACTTGCTCAGAGAAATACAGCTGCCTTCTTGAGCTGGCAAACTGGATTTTAAAATACTTGTAAATTATTGCTGATCTGACATTGGAGATATCCAAGCTGTATTGTACCTAGATAGTAACAGCACCAATAAACTGAAATTCCTATGTCAACTCTTCCAACTTATTCCTCCTTTTCATAATCCAAAAAATTAATTGATATATTTATTATATATAAATATATTATACATAGATATATTTATGTAGTAAAATATATTCCTCTCTCCACAGATCTCTGTTTGTAGATGTCAAACTTTGGCAGTTACGAAAATGGTGCAAGCAATTTTAAGTTCACAGGAAATATACTTGCCACAGTAATTTTGCTGTATTCTGTAAAGTGTATCACATCATTAATGCATATTTAGGACTGATGATTTAATTGTTTCTAGTGCTTCCACTGAGGGGCTTTTAGCAGTTGCTTCAAGAACAAAACAAGAGTTACTATTCTATGAACGTAAACAGTAGAAAGAATTAGAAACTTTACACTTCTTCACACACAAACAGATGACACATTACCAAGAAAATCTGCCTGGAAGACAAAACAGTCAGCATGTGATCATACAGAATTAGGAGAAGACATATAAACAACACAAATTGAATTCTGATTTAATGATTTTTTTAAAAAAAAACTTCTTAGATTTACAATTAGCCTTTTTTTGAGTGCCTGAGAATCACTGAAATGCTGTTACCTTCAATTTTCATTAAAACTGACTTATAAGTAATGCACTGAAGTAACAAAAAAGCCTGAAAATACCCAAGCTCCAATATCCAGCCCCTAGAAATATGTAACATCAAATAAGGGTTTACGTTAAGATTTGATTTCCATCCCCTCCACTGCTGCATGGTCTTCCCTTGCATGACCACACCTCCCTTCCTCCCTGCTCAGCCGCTGCAGAGGAGGGCTCTGTGCAGGGCAGGAGCAGCTCCACACGCTCTGCTGGCAGGGGTGCTGATATGCACAAGTACTGGGCAGCACCAGCAGCTGCCTCCTTACCCTCTACAACCTTTGGTGTGGAAAATGCTGAGAGCACAGGAGAGGGACATCCTCCCTCATTCCCTACTCTCCAATGCCAGACTGAACTCAGTTTTCATCATTAAGGTTTTAAATAATCTTTTAATGGACTAAGTGCATGTCTGTACCAAAGGAAAAACGGTATCTTTGTCTTCTATTTATGAAATTGTAGGATTTTACTCAGTTTCAGCAAATGTAATGTGCCATACATTGCTGAGTTTTCTTTACAGACCTATGTAGTGACAACAGAAGGTTGCAAGCTCAGACTACAGCTGTAATATAAAGCCAAAACCAAAAATAGCAGAATACTTTTACTGTGATACCAGATAATCTATTCTTACACATCAAATTTATCCACATCCAGTTCAAACACAGTTCATATGTCAATATGCCAATTAATTGTCAGCCCCATGCATGCAAATGGAAGTGAGGAAAGACAAAAATCATAGAGCAAACACTCAGGTTACAGAAGCAGCTCAGGTTCTTCAGCCAATGGCCAGAAAAAGCAGAAGCCCAAATCCAACGCTTAGACTAATTCTCTTCCTCATCTTCAGTTTTCAACAGATGCTTGGAAATACTAACTTCTTTCTAAACTTTCCCTTGAGAGTGACTACATGTAAAGAATCTTTTCTGCTTTAGAAGCAGGTGATCATGAGAGAAAGTCAAGAGTTTTCCTTGGTGGGCTTTCTCCAGTAGCTTTCTCCTACTCCACATGGAGTTTTTCCACTTTAATTTGTCCACGTCTCTGGAAGCCATTTCCCTTTAAGACATCTGCCCTGTCTGGAAGTAGATGGTGTCTTTTGCTGGAAATCCAGCCACCTACACAAGCAGCCATTGATGTGAGGAGTGCTCAGGGCCATAGTCATTTGAACTATCAGGTTCCTCACTTCCTGGCAAACATTGATTAATGACCAGGATGCCTCTGATTTCAAGCTCTGCTTCACTAGCACTCATAGTTCAGAGATAACAAAGAAAATTTCCAGTATATCTTTCCAGATAGTTAACTGCTCTGCCATATATTGTCAGTAACTTTATTTTTTTTTTCATATATCCTTAATATTCTTTTATCTACTTGAGTCTTGTGGTGGTCCTTCAAGTCCAGAATGTTTCAGCACAAATTCTGTGGAAGATCTAGTCCAACCTGTATAGTCCTGTCTAACAGACAGCTAGAATGGAAGACTTTGACACCATTTTATTTTGGTGTACTTCCTATACTTCACATTTCTCCATCCTTTGCTGTTCTCAAATGGTTCAGCTTTTCTTGTCCTTCAAATTTGCCATCTTATTGCCTCCAGTATCAACTTCTGGTAAAATTTCTGTCCTCTTCATGCACTTGATGAATTTTAGCTCATACAAGCCACTTGATAATAGACTGTTTTTCTATGCAGTTCACTGTATATTTTCACCCTTAAGCCATTAGAAACCTTCAGCTTACTTTCAACAGTTCTTTACAACCTGGCCTCAGGCAACCAACATTTCTTGGATGTTCAGTCACAGAAACAGGAGCTATAAACCACCTGTAAATTAAAAAAACTAGTTTTGTTTCTCTCTGCAGTTACCTCTACTTGCCTTTGCCAATTTCCCTCCCATCACTATTCGGCAAGGGAGACTTTTGATACTGTGCTCCTTGGAAACAACCATACTACCCAAGCCTCCCCACTGGAGTGCAAGCATGGGGCAGTGCCAGAGATGAGGTATGATGTGGCATTACTCCTTCAGTAATCATCCTGCAAAAACTAAAAACCATTTCTTACTTTGGTTTCTAAGTAAAAACTTTATTAAGAAAGACTTTCAACTTCTGTTTCAAAGTTATGAAGACTATAATATATATTTAGATCGAGGGTTTTACTTTTAAGTTAAGGGTTTTACTTTAAAGCTTGATTCATTATTATTAAACGACAAAGTTTAATAATCCATGTGACAGCTAAATGATTAGCATAGTTACTATTTTCAGCAGTATATTAATTTTTCATTGCAAAACCTATCTTAACTTGGCAATAGAAACTTTTATTGGTGGTATTTTGTCATAACCAAATTGCTAGTCCTGAACTCCATATCAAGACCACGTGTTGCAATGTAAGTCCTGTCCAAAATGATGAGCATGTTTGACACTGACACAAACAGGAATTTAAAGAAGTGCTTCCCTATTCCTTTACAAATGATGTGCAGGCTGCAATTTTTCAGTAGTTTAGGCCTTAACTTATGCGCAGTCAATTTTTGCCCTATCCAAGAGCACATCCTGATAAGACGCTGACATTGCAGTCAAACTTCAGTCTCCTCCAATTTCAGTTAAATTTCAGCTTGCATTTTACCCTGAACAGCAAAAAAAATTATTGATCAAAAAGACAACTCAAGCACTGAATTGCCTATTCAAAGGATCAGCGAAAACTAGAATAAATAGATTCATCACATTTATATGGAAACAGAGTCGGATTTGACAGATTATGTATGTCACTCCTTTAGCACAACCTGATCGAACTTTATCATCTTCCCTTGCTTACAGTACACTGCTGCTTAAAAACTGGAGTTATTTATTTACAAATAACCCAGTAGCATGTAACAGGCATTAAGATGTCTGTGTTTCCTATACAATAGAAGGCATTAAACTCCCAAGAATATTAGCATTATTTGCCTCTAGTGACCCAACTGTATGGAAATGTATCTTCAAATGTGAAAACTGACTCCTTCCCACGTTCTTTCAAATTTCCTTTTTTTTTTTTTTTTTTTTTTTTTTTTTTTTTTTTTTTTTTTTTTTTTTTGGTGCACAACCTGTGGATTCAGGTGGGCACAGCAGGAATAGAAATGTAATTTTTAACAGGCTTTGTAATAGATGACACGGACAGATGGAAATAAACTATTGGAAGAATTGCCACACCACATACCATACCTACTTTGCTGACAGTTTTATAAACATCTCAAGGGCTGATTTCCACATGGCAGCTGCCCAGCT